CAGGGGCTATTATTACAACACCTCAAGACACTTTGTAGCTTGTGGCAGAAAATCTGCAGCATTGCATGCATTTGAAGATTCAGGAATGTGGCAACCTCTTTTTGTGCATTTTATTAATGACACATATACTTCACATGTTCCAGCTCATTTCAATAAAATATGGTGGTTCAGTGCCACTTTATTCCTGTGTAAAAAAAAAATATTTATTGGTTCAAAAGCTATGGAATCTTACTTAATTTAGACCTATGCATACTAATGGTTGAGAGAAGACAAAGCTTCAAGTAAGCTCAAAAGACATTTTCTTTACTGCAGTAAGTGGCTCTGTATGTTTCAATTTTATTTTATTTTTTATTTTTAGAGTGGAGAGAAATTGGTGTGTCTGTACCACAAAGGCGGGACTGCAGTTCGATGTTGTGCCTTCTCTTGGACAGGTAGTTCCCTTGCATCTGCAGCTGATGATGGGTCTATTTGCATTTGGGATGCAACATCCTTCGCCATGACCAGGTAGGTATGGGTATCAGGGGAATGTATTAAGAGGATGTTAAACAGTCAAAGAGATTAATTTCTTTCTAGCTGTCGATTGGGAAACCTCTCGTGACCCCAGAACCGAAATCTTTCCTTTTTAGGCTTCAATGGGAAATGTCTATGAGCTGTATTGCCATCTTCAGTTTAGATATACAAGGTACTGTAATGACATTCCGATTAGGGATGCACCAATCCAGGAATAATCGATACCGAGACCGATACCTCCCAGTGGTTGGCATCAGGACCGTTTCTAGGCATATTGGCGCCAAGGCAAGGAGTTCCAATGCCCCCCCCCCCCCGCTTCCCCCACCAAGCAACAACTGCGACGCGAAGCACCACCACAATTCTGGCGATTAGGGCCTTATCCCGGAAGGTGACAGGGAGCCGGAATTGATGGAAATCATTTTATTAAATTTGTGAATAATCAAAGCCAAGTCGAGGTATTGTGTTTTCTTCCACGCTAACCATATAAAAAAAAATACTTGTTTTTATTATATTATTTCTTTGCGCGGCGCCCCTCCCCCCCTTCCTCCCGCAGGCACCCTGGGCGATCGCCCGCCCCCTGAAACGGCCCTGTTTGGCATAGAAGGGGAAGTAGTAAGCCCTCGGAGACTTTAATGACCCACCGCTCAAAAGTCCTGCCACTTCCTATTCGGCTATGGAGACATTTACGTCGGCCAATATATTAGCCGCTTGAGTGAAGGTAAGGTGATCAGACGTCCCGATTTAGGCGGGACAGTCCCACTTTCAGACCACATGTCCCGGTGTCCCCCGATTAAGTATGCGGGACTCCCAAATGTCCCACTTTTGGGAAATGTCGAAGAGAGAATGACACGACGGTCGAATTTCTTCCCTTGCGAGTTTCAGAACTTCTAAATAATATCGCATCGAGCTAAACCTAGTGAATATCATGTGATTATGAATAGCATACCTTCTGTCTTTCTTTTTTTTTTATCCATGGCAGCTGCGTAGATATAAATTGGCAATGCGAATTCGGATTATGGAACTACTAAGAAGCCTAAAAACATGCTAGCTCTTGCCAGCAAGCACCTGCTCGTGTGCATTGAAGACAGTGAGGCCGGTCCCCCTGCTTTCGTTTACTTTTATATTGCGTGAACAATGTGATACCTATATAGTTGTCTATGAGTCAGGGGAAGCCTCCAGGTTCTGGCCTCCCATCCGCGTTTCTGGACAGGAGTCAACTTTCAGGGACCGGACTTGGCTCGTTTTCCGTCAGTCGAGATGGATCCAATGATTATCTGAGATTTATTTCAGATATTTGATAACTTAATAGATATTTTAATATTGTATGGGTAAAAGACTTCTGAGAATTTTCGAGGAGGCCGGACCTCTTGCAAAAAATGGGCCAAAACCCTAGCTCATGATAGTATCGCTTCCGATCCCTCTCCTCCGAGGGTGGGGGACGCAGAAAGAGATCTTGAGCAAACGACCTGAGAGCGAGGCTAGAAAAGGACAAAGATGAGAGTGAAAGGTGTAGGCCACGCCAGTCACATGTGGCTACTCGCTGCAGTAAAGTGAAAATGTCACAAAAGTGTCCTGCACATGTGACGCTGCTGAAATTTTTCCTGAAAACGGAAGGACCACAACTCGGATGAAAGTCATGAATAACGTACAGGTTAAGGAATTTCCAGTTGCTTATCTGCACAGTGAAATCTGGGCTGAATCCCGAAATTAAAGCTGTTCAGCTTTAGCTTTGTTTCAAATATTGAATGCGCTTGTATCATTTATTGTTTAAATTTTGTTCCCACAATTTAATGAAAACTTTTCGTTTCATTTTCTATGTTCGCGTGTTCGACGTCGTTTCGCGTTTTCCTCTTCTGAAGACTTGATAACGCCTTCTTGCATTCGGAGACACTTGAAAGATAGCTCAAAAGAACTTTCCCGAAACTCTCAATCCCCCCCCCACCCCAACTTTAGGGCTGGTTGCGCTACTGCTGATGCGCAATTAAATAACAGTTCTAATTCATGTTTTGACAATAATAAATACAATAGTCAGTCCAACAAGTACATTCATATTCTTTTTTTTTTAAGAGGCAAGGGGAAGTATTTATTGGGCGTCCCACTTTCGCGACACAGAAATCTGGTCACCTTAGTAAAGGTCAAAACTACCCCCGCCATCCACCCAGGCCCACCAAAGAATCCGTCGCACATGGGTACAAAGTCCTTAAGGGGTTAAGGAGTTCATCAAGCAACTGCTACTAGGATCGGGGCTCGTGATGGGGGGGGGGGGGAGCCAGCCGGAAGCGGTATGGACGTGAGCACGTGAGTGGTCGTGAGTGCGCCTGAGCGAACCAGTCAACTCAGGAAGGCAGGATACGGGACGGAAGGGGGGAAAGTGAGAGAATGAATGCATACGTGAATGACCGACCTATTCCATAATTGCAGTGCTCATTTCTCGTCTTAAATCTCTCTCATTCCGCTTTGACCATGCGCTAACTCATTGTCAAGCAATTCGATATTAACACAAGGACTGCGACGGGTTTGAGGTTCTGTATGCCGTTCCGAGTGGTTCTTTTTTCATGAGATGTTAAAGAAATTTACAAGCTGCACATTAAGTACGGCGTGCGGCAGGAGGGAATCGGATCGGCCATATTGATCTCAGCCGATACCGATCCTGATCGGTTCATTTGGTATCTGCCGGTACTGATCCGAAGTATCAGTATCGGTGCATCCCTAATTCCGATATTAACCATTCACTGTACTTGTTCCTGATTGAGAACATATATGGTTAATTTCTTTTTATATAGATAATGGCTGAAGACTCAGTGTGGCGAACAGGAAATTTCTGAAATATTCATGATGTTCCTGATGGAAAGAATATAAATATTTGTTAAATGTATGATTTTTACCAAATGGGAATACTTTGAAGATATTGGCAAAGTACTCAAGCTAAGTAAAGACCTTTGGCCTTCGTTTTCCACAATTCTTAGTTTAAAAAAATATTGTATCTTACGTATCCAAAAAATGTTATTGCATATTTTGTCTCATATCTTTGGGTGACATGCACCAGATTTGTTTAACTTTAAACTGATTCGTTTTCATAATGGAAGTCTATGGAAATAAGTTAATCACTGTTAAACTGATTCCTATAGGAGACCATTGTGAGATCAGATTAGTTTAGCTTAAATGGATCTGGTGCATGTCACCCTTTATCTTATACATCTGTCTGACCTCATCAGAATAATTAAACCTGTTGTAGTTTCTGTCATCTTGAAAAAATTTTCAATTTTAACAAAAATCAAGTATTGCAATAAAGTGATCTGCTGTTTGCTGCAACACATTTTTTTTTCAGTACCTTTAAAATGTGTATGAAATTTGAATTTTTTTCTCAAAGGTTTTAATATATTCTGCAATCTATGGCCTTATTCAAGGTTTGCCATAACCTGGTCTAATCTACTGTAAGCCAAGATCAGACTCAGTCCCAATGAGTTTCTTGTATATATATAATACTTTTTCCCAGCATATAAGTTTATATACCTTGTGACTGTTTCATCTCATTCTGACAGAGTGTTGGACATAGATGATGTGGAAGCAAGCATTCCAAGCTGTGCCTTCAGTCCAGATGGAAGCATCCTCCTGGTGGGCACATCCACAGGGCGTTTGCTTGGGTTCTCTCTTGACTCTTCTCCTCACAAAGTGCCCCTCTTCCTGGAAAAAAATGCCCACGATTTGGGGGTCTCTACTGTCGCCTTCTCATCATCTAATTCCATTTCTGCTAGTAAGGATCAGATAATTTATTCATGGTGATGCTTGTCTCATTTTAAAGGTGTTACCATTTTAGGCAGTGACTCCTTGTTTCCCAAGCAGAATTACATGTGTAGGACAGTGGCACCCAACCCATGGCTCTCAGGCAAAAAGTGGCCCTCGAGGTGCTTACAAGTGGCCCATGAGGCCCTAACCCACAATAAATACCCTTAGATTTCCTCAAAATAGTCTTCTGCAATATTAATGACTGGCCAGCAATGGCTGTGGGAGTGAGCTATGTGGCCACCCCCTAGCTGAAAAGGTTGAGCACCACTGGTGTAGGGTGTATCAATACTAATGCAAAGTAATATTGGCCATCATTAAACAAGCATAAATTATTCATAAGATATTCCATAGTAAATATAAAACCTAGATGGAACAAGTAGTTTCCTTGATGAAGGATTCTTGCCTTTTATGCTATCATTTATATGTGTATCTCTGTTTATGAAGCTTGTAATCCAGTAGTTTTTTTTTTATTCTTGATTGAAATCATTGATTCATTTTCTTGAAAGCCAGCTGCAAAAGCTTAAGGGAGCTTGGCTGGTATTCAGCAAAGGTACTGTTGCCAGGAATGTTTTGTCCAACTGCTGACTTGCATTACAAGCACATCCTACTTGTGGGCTTTTGTTGGTGTGCTCTCTGTAAGAACCCTATCATGGGTTAATTCATGCAGAAAGTGCTATCTCCAGTTCTCAGTAAGATTTAGCACAGGAGCAATGTTTTTATTCACCAATATTGATCAGCCTGCCAATGTATGGTGGATGTAGGCAGTGCTATATTCTGACTCATCAGCCAAGGGAGGCAGAGTAGCAGACAGGGGGTGGCCAAGACTGATGGGGAGAGGGGAAAGGATGTTAAATGAAACTTTATTGGCTATAGGATTTTGGAAGCAGGGAGACTTGGAAATGTTGCTGCATGATAGATGAAAACTTATAAGGTTTTTCTTAAATCACCAATACTATGTGAATCAAGTCTCATTTCTAATCTTTTAGTTCAAAAACAGGACTCAGAGGGGTGCATGGTGGCTTCAATATGAAAGTTCTCAAGCAAAATTATTTCCCCAATTTGGAACCACCTTTAAAAAAATACCATGAGGGAGGGGGGGAGGGCAGAGCTGCTCCTCCCCCTTTCATACACTGTAGGATGTAGGCTTATAGGAATTTCTCTTTTTTTTTTAAGTCTATCACTGATTATACTAAAAATTCAGTTGTAACACTGGAACAGTTGACATATATTCATGCTTGGAAGAGAGAGATAAGCCAACCATTATTAATTTTAGGCTCAAAAGATGGAGATGGGGCAAAGAAGACATTCCTGGCAGCAACTGGAGGAGTTGATTCCCTGGTACGCCTATGGCACATCCAAGGTAATCACAAATCAGCTCTTGTGCCAGTAAAGAGTCCACATGGCATGTTGACTGGCCACAGTTCTACTGTAATGAGTGTGAAGTTTCATCCGAGAGGAAGGCTTCTTGCCTCTGCATCAGGGGATAAGACTGTACGCCTTTGGAACACAGTCAGTTATCTCTCTCTTCCTCACTCTTGCATGATGTAGGAACTTGTGCTCAGGGCATATGTATAAGTCATGTTATTTTTGGTCTTTGCAGGAGATTGGTCTATGTGTGGCTGTCCTGCAGGGACATGAACGATATGTGACAAGTGTTTCTTTCTCTCATAATGGCCAATATCTTGCTTCTGGCTCCAATGACCGTTCTGTCATCCTCTGGCAAATCGAACCTGCTGAAACATCTAACTTTGCACCTCCTGATCTTGTTAGTCATAATTATCTCATTAACTTGTGGTAATGAGCCTCACTGTGGAATGTAATATTTTTCCTGGACTGCAGAAGAACGGGGAGGTGTTGGTGGACATATATTCAGCACCTGCAATGCGTCTCTCACAACCTGCATCATCATGGGCCATCAGTGATGTTTTGGAATGGCTTGAGGACCTGGGTCTTAATCAATATAGAGACACCTTCAAGATGAATCAAATAGATGGTCCAGCACTGCTTAAACTCCATGATTCCAAACTCCAAGAACTTTCTATTGGTCTGATCTCCCATGGTTTGAGTTGCTTTCAGTTTTTGCTTGACTGGGATCTGAATGGATATGTTTTCTTTCTTTGCATCATTGGATAGTGGAGAAAGGACATCGACTGAGAATTTTGCAGGAATGTCGTCACCTGGCTGAGGACTCCCATCTTCACAAGATGGATAAGGGGTTTGTCCCGATTGAATTCTATTGCCCCATCACTCACACCATCATGATGGATCCTGTGGTTGCTGCTGGTCTAGCTCTCCCCCCTTCCTCCTATTTGAATCATCTCCCTTGAATCCTAATAGCTGATTTTTTTCATTGTATCTTTATTTGCTCTTCCAGATGGATTCAGCTATGAACGAGGGGCAATCCAAGAGTGGTTCTCTCGCAGCCCTACAAGCCCATTAACCAATGAACGAGTCATACACACGATGCTCATTCCAAATCGCACCCTTCGTGTCCTCATCAAACGACACCTTGCCTCTATCATCTGATTCCTCACTCCCACATCTCATGTTCATAAAGATTTTGTGGTTTCCTGGCCCTTTGTAGCCAAGTGACAGAAAATGTGGGAGAGCTTGTGGAAGATGCAATTGCTTGTGATCACAACTAGGCTAGTCATTGTATGTATGTTGAAATGAGAGAGTGGAATATTTTTCCATCATTTTCAATCTGTTGCTGTGTTGCTTGTGCACATAGTTGCATCCTTTGCCTGCATTCATAGGTGACATACCATGTACCTGCTTCAATTGTTTAAGAGAAATTTCCTCATTCTTATTGATGAGGATACTTGCAGTTTGCTTATATAGATAAATCTGAAGGTGCATGACATAGCACCTAGGCTGTTCTTTTAGACTATCTGGTTAATTTTCAATGCAAGATGCAAAGTTTATCATATCATCAGGCTGTCTTACCTGTAAGAGCAGCTTAGGGTAGAATAGGGATTTTTTAGGACCATAGTGCCTCTTGCTTTTCAGTTTTCTGACCATGAAAGACCCACCAAAATAAAAATTTCCATAGGCCGAAAATGATGCAAGGTAGAAGTTGCCAGTTTCTAAACTGAGGATAAAGAGTTTGTCTGCCGCTTGCCAGTAAGAAACTTTAGTAAACTTTAGTAAGTTTACTTGATTTTAAGTAACATCTGGTACAGAGGAACCTTTGAAAAACTTGAACTAGGGTCATTCATGGATAAACTTGGCCTAGGCTCCAGTGATTTTAAAGTTTAATTACTTGTGCATTACGTTTTTGAATTGACCTAATGAGATTTACTATGCAGTTTGTGTTTGTGGATATGGACACTATATGCATTTATTGGTGATATGAAGTCATCTCAGATTTTACTTGAACACTAAGTGGCTCCTTAATATTTCATGGTGGTATCAGATTTCTCTTGTATCACTGCCCCCTGGCCATCAAACAGAATGGCAATTCAAATGAATATAGGCCTATAAATTGATGTGTACTGTTGTTGAAAGACATTTTACAGTTCAAGTAAACATGAAAAAGTGAAATTAGTGCAAAGTTAGAATTTCATAGCTTTGGCAGGGCCAACTATTGAAAGCAGCAGAATACCAAATATGACATTCTTGGCTCCTGTGAGTCAAGGATACAGGGTCCAAGTCTGATGCATATTTAATGAACACCCAGTTCAAAGTTCAGAGTTATGAAAGAGAGGGATAGTTTATTTTAAGAATGAGAATCAATCTGTGGCAGAAGAGGCATGACACCAGCACATGGGTTGTACTCTATTGCTCTTTGCAAAGTCTTCATATTTAACTCTAGGATGCATGGCATGGGTCTTAGGGACTCATACCAGTGAATCTTCATTTCCAAAACCATTACAAGACTTGATTTATTTATTTCTTATATGGAAATTCCTTCCATAAATTTAATGTTCTCTTCAAAGGTCTGACTAATGTGTGTTATTTTGGAAGTGGGTCCCATTGAGCTGACCCATGGGAATATGTATAATTCAGTCATGTATCGTAGGGTTAAGAGAAAGAAAGAAATGGAGTCATAAGTAAGCAGTTGGATTGTGTCAGAACTAGTAGTTCAGAATTCCTTATCATAGTAATGCTATGTTTTTGCCTACAATTCTGGTCCTCAATCCTCCTTAATATTCACTTTCTACATTTCCACCTTATTTCAACCTGCAGTTTCAACTTTTCTTAGTTTTACTAACTCTATTCTATTTAGTGGTTCTATCATATAATTTGAGACTGTTGGCCTCCACATCTTGAAACATCTTATATGAAGAGAACAAGAGAAGTCAAAGTGAATTGATTAAACTGGAAGTAAATTTGGGCAGTTTCCTTGAATATGGAGATATTTCCTTTTCTGCTCCAAACACCCCTTCTGGTATGCAATGCCCCTAGATCCATGCTAATGATCGCTTGAGCAATGATACACTGCTGCCAACTAGGTAACAGACTGGCTGTCTGGTAAAGTTAGGACTGACTGAGTATTGACTTCCTGGCTGGAGGAATTTGAACCACTTATGAGTGGCTAATATGAAAGGAAGGAGATGAGAGGGCTGAGCCTATAATTTAGAATAATAGGGTTTTGTTGAGTGATGTTGGATGTTCCCTCTGATAAGAAATGGGTATTTTCAGAGTTCCTCTCACCTCTAGAGTTACCAGATTTCCTCGGGCCTACAATGACCCACACCCAATTGTAGCATGGACACTTAGGTGTGGGACATGAAAAATGCAATAAATAACCACATGGAAGTAAAATTAACTATTCCATTGCACAGTTCAACTAGGACTCAAGAGGCATCATAGTTTCTCTTATTTTGGGAATCTTTGCCATCGTTTGTAAAGCGGGACCTCTCAAGAATGAAAAGATACATAACAGTACAATGTTCATTTCCTGTTTCACCATACTTGCAGTCCAATTGCTCCAAGGGTTGAAATTGCCTTCAAAGTGCACTTCATGATTTGGTTTGTGATGTTTGAAGGAAAAGTGAGTCAATGACATTTCAATTTCTCATCTCCAACTATGTCCAAAGTGTGTCTCACTAAATTTGCAGTTTTATTAATTGGGGATGATGAAAACCAGCACTTCTGGTGTTGTATACTGACTGTTGAATTCAGAGTGTTCATCAAAAGAGTAGGTTCAGGAATTTCATGAACAAATGAAACATTTTCTTGGGTCCTATTTGGAAAGTACCAGATGATTATGATGTCTTGTTAAATTTATTTCTCCATTCTTTAGTGGTCTCAGATACATGGATACTTTTAGCAGCAAAAGATGAAGCAACCTTTGGAATTTTTATTCATGTATTATTGGTACCATATCAATCTGCAAGAAATGCACATATTCAGATAGCTTTTATATGCCTAAATATCATGACACATGGTTATAATGCTTCCCTCCACATGAACTCTAGTCAATTTCAGGGCCAAACTGCAGTTGGAAGAGTGTAGTCACTTGCAAATGTAGTCACTTTCAATGCTTCTCCTTAGCTCATGAGAGACATTCAGCCTTAGGGGGTGGAATATCAGCAAGCACATTATTGTAGCATGCATCAATGAGATTGAATACAATAATAGGACTAGAACCACACATCATTTGTATTTCACATGAAATAGCTTGTATTTTGCTGTTGAAAGTATTCTTTTATCTGCTACCATTGAATACAATTAGCTAAAGGAATTCTACTTATTATATGATCCCTCTGTGCATTATTAAAATGGGAGATTATTGGTAATCTAACCCTTGCAATTGACCTCATTGAAAATTTTCTGAAACGTGGAAGGCTTCAAAAGCTAATGCGCGCACTCATGTCATCGCTGGCTGTCCTCGGTGAAAGAAGAAAGATGTTTCCATAATGGATGTTTTTGATAAGTTGTCAATTGGAAGATGTTCGTTGCACTTTGTGATATCTTTTCACGTTTGGTATGGTTAGGATGATTAAGGAACAGGAGGAATAGTTGGAGTTCCTCTGTCATGCTTTGGAATAAAGGTCCACTACGCAACCTACATGATGTCATCAGATTAAGGAGGTTTTTACCTTTTCCATTCCTTCTCCTCCTTGCTTGTCCACGGGTCCATGGCAAGGTGAGGCATGACGATACGGTCTCAGTTTGGATGTCACTATGTGCCAGTCACACTTCCGGTCTCTGCTTATTTCCTTGTTGAATTCGTGTGGACCGTATGAATGTACCACAAGTGGGTTGACAAGTCCTTGCATTTGATTCGGTCTTTGTTCCTCTAAAATAGTGACTTCGGCTATATTCCCACAGTATTCCAGATCATGCTCTTGCAAAATTGATAAATTTACTGAAAATACCTTGCAAGAGAGAACTTTTGGGTGGAGGAGAAGTTTACAAAGACGACCACTGTGACGGGAAACTTGAAATTCCCAAGAGTAGGTAACGAAAATGTGCCAAGACCCATGGTGCCGTGTACGAGAAATGATTGAAAAAAGGGTGCTTGAGTGCACTACATGCAATTGTGTAGGTATTTTTTGATTGGGGGTGTTGAACAGAAAATCGTTTCGTAGATGAGACTAATTCACAGAAAGACTCGTAGAAATAGAACCGTCTCATAGAATGAAAAGTACTCCAGTACTGTTTCAGAGAATCGGTTTCTCGTTGTCCTTCGCCTTTACTGGCCTTCAAGACCAATTTCAACTGTCGAAAACGTAGAGGAGTAAATTACCCGAGAAGTACTCCCTTTCCCTCGGAGTCGTACCCCTGTCCAGAGTTTGATCGTGAAATACATAGGACGAATTAAAGAAGCCCATTCCGTCCGTTGCGGTCACTGAGCCTCACCAAAAAATACGAATTATAATTAAATTTTAAATAGAGAAAAGTTTGCTTCTACCTATCTAGTAATGTTTACTGATATATGAATGCAATGGATTTGTGACACCATTTAATAATGATTTTCAGGAGAATTTGTGGGATATGGAAGCAGCCAAGTAAAACAATAACCCTAATTTTACTCATTCATGTAATCTAAGAACTGACAGACAGGCAGATGGAGGGACAGATGCTTATAAAATAGGTATAGGTTCTAGAAGTCCCAGCTTTAGAGTCTTTTTTATCTAAAAGTTAGATTTATGCTTGGCATGACTTTGGAACCATTTTCACACTTTCCATACATATCATTCGCCCATTATTTATGCCTGGGTGGGGAGCATGAGTCCCACATGCTATCACTAATCTGTTGAAGTAATTTAGAAATTCATTTTGGGAAGAATATGCGGGTGATATACGGGAAGTTTGCTTTCTTGAGGAAGTAGAGCGTTAAATATTGCAGGAAATATTTTTTAAATTGGAAAATTGTAATTATTTTCATTAAAAAATGTTTATAATGAAGAAATTCCATTTATTTTGTACTGTATCAGCTAAAGTTGTTTGGATAAGTTTTTGACGTTGATGGCTTTCAACCTGTAAAATATGGTAGTCTCCTTGTGGGATTTGTTTTTCAGGACACCCTGTGGTCTTGCACAAGTTAATTCTTTGAGCCATCGAATTTTAAAATTTATATTCTCCATTAAAGTAATTGACACCTCATAAAGCTTGGTTCAACCATCGAACATATTTTTGTTAGAAACCAGCCAAAGTACTCTTCAGAATGAAAGGTGAAAACTCTCAGAATTCACTTTGACCCAAATGGTTAACCTAATAAACCCTAGGTGTAATTAATTCAACTGAGTAAGTCGTTACACAGTGAGCCAGATGGGACTTCTTGGATTAATTATGTAAATGGCTATTAACAATTGGTCCTTCCCGTGGCTAGGAATATAGGATGAAGGATGTGATGGGGGAATGAGGCCCCCCCGAAGCCCAGAAGCAGGCATGCAATTCACACACATCCAGCAGGTGCGCCTCCTCTACAAGGCCATCTTGAGGCTCCACCGTAGTCTCCCTAGAGATCTAAAGGTTGTCATTTTACCTTATTCGTGTCTTATTTTGTATAAACTTCCTGAGCCGCCTCAGGAAATAACTATCATCGTTTCGGTATTAGGTGCTCGGAGACGAGTACGCAAAGGCGGAGTTTCGAAGACACAAGGTAGCCAACCCACAACAGACCCTTGTCTTCATGCAGGAATGGGCTGTGAGTGACCTCTTGCCCTCTCGTCATTCACATTCTTTCCGTTTTGTCTTCACAGAAGAGGGGAAAAAAATATGCAAAAGGTGAGGCATGAGCATGTCCATGGGTATTGCAGACGTATGCAGTGGAGCTGACTCGGCAGCTGGGAGTAAAAGGACTTAGAGAGGGTCATCCCATTGGGAAGCAGCTAACTTTGGAGGAACTGGAGAAATTCTCAGAAGAACAGATCTTTCAGCTGCATGCACTCATGGAGGAAGCGCAACGTCCTCCCTCGTCTTCGTCCTCTTCGACGTCGTGATCCCAGCAATCACGGCATCTGAGTTCTGTCTTTTGTAGTTTCTCTGAGGATTCCAATTCTAGGTCCCATGGAATACGAACCAATGCATTGGTCCAGAGGTCTCATGTGTCTTCGTCTGGACACAATCCTCGTTGAGCAATTGGTTGCCTCGTATGGTCGCGAGGGGCCATGTTTGTTTCCTCAGGCCCTCCGCCAAATGCCTCTAAGACTCCATCCTGTCCCCAAATCGACCATCTTGTCCTTATTCTGTGCCACTTATAACATTCTCATTACCAACCTCATTTTAAACTTATGACCAATGAGAGTTTGCTTGATCTCTTCCATAGAATACTAGTTTCACAGTGAACAAAGTTAAAGTACATTGAAGTACAAACAGTAACCAGTATTGTGTTTCTTCTAGAAGTGTAAAAGAAATTCCTCTGAGAAATTCCTGTCATATCAACAGGCTAAGTTCCATAGGAACAAGCTCAAGCTTAGATAAGCATCCATGCTGATGATTCCTAATCCAATATGTGGAGACATCACGGGGGGAAAATGGCACTGTGATCATGTAGAAGTGTGTTTTTATCACTTGCTCCAGCTCAATCTATACCTAACAAGTCCTACGTTAGCAATAAAAATTTAGCAGTAACTACTTGCTTCGCTTACGTTTTCCTATCTTTTTTTTTTTACTTCTAAGATGATTTGCCTTCAATGGCGTCATTTCTGCTCGAGATGGCATCAGATGGCTCGGAGGGAGAGACTCTGGTTTTGCTTTGGAATGCAGTTTCCTTGTCAAAAATGAACCTCATCTTTTAATGACACGGGAGAAAAACTCACAAATAGACGCACTGACAGACAGGAACATGCACCCACATAACCAAAGTAATACATTACACCATGTCTGTTCCCCATGCCTAGGTGAACAGTTCATGGCTTACGGCATTCGCTTCTCTTCCATTTCTCTGACGAAGGAGACTGCAAAGCACTGCTCAAAATGGGATTCTTTTTCTGTTCTGACGTGAGTCTTCAGCCGCTTTTATGCTTTGTCCAGGCCGATCCTGCACGATCGCGTCCGAATGCCGAAACCTCATTTAGGCGAGATCAAGGGGTCTTTAAGCTAAAGTGCTCCTTGACCCTCCTAGGAGTCCATGGATTCTTAAAGGACCGTTAAATAAAGGCGGTTTCAGCATTCGGGACTTAATCTGCAGTAATTAACTTTCACATGAAACCTTGGCATCCTTCATGGAAATCCCAGGACACCATCACTCCCTATCCCTCTCTGGAGAGAATGGTTCAGGTCATATATTTTCTCCCGCCCAAATATTAATCCTCCCCCCCCCCCCCCCCCCCCTTTCCACCGGAACTCTTGCATCCGAAAAATTGTGAGAACGCCGTTCCCGCTTACTTTCACCACTGTTCCTGGTCCTTTTACCTTTAGGTATTTTTGTCACAAAGAGCTACATCGTTAGCGTATATTAAATCAAGTTAGCAAGTAAACTCGTGATCCACGCGATACTTATCCTTGCCCACGCGAGTCCCTGACAGGTTCGTGACACAGTGCAGCAATGGAATACCGACACAGCACAAATACATCCCAAAGATATCGCCTAGGAACAAGTGGGAAGTCCCAGGTACTATTTGCACGGACATCTCCACGATATCAAAAAGTCTGGGCGCCTTTCTGAAACGGACTCATTTCCTACCATACAGGATAACCCATTATTTTATGTTTTCTCCACCTGATCTAGACTCTCCGGTCATAAATTCTTGACCAATTGGAGAATAGTGTTAGGGAAATCCTTTGCTTGAATGACCCCAATATGAGACACATCTCCATGAGATAAATTAGCTCTTTTTATGAGAAGTCGCCCGGTTTCAAGGGAGAAATAAGTAGGTCTTACTTTTTTAAAGCTGAACCATGGCCTCAGATTTCCAACCAGGATAATGGTACCCATACATGCCGATCTGACATCATTAATGAGAATATAACGGAATCAATTAAAATTGGGACCTCATTTTTTTCTCTCTTCAGTGGCAGTTTTCCTGATGTACGATACAAAAATCATTCTTTTCTATACAAATCGAGTTGATAAAATTACTAGAAAAGATCTCTCAGGTTGAAGATAAGGACACTTGGGAGACATCTACCGTCAAAGTTATGCATCTGGCTGAAGGTGACAAAGACGACTGATTATGTCTTAAAGACATCCCTAAGATGTCCCCGAAGATGTTCTCCTCAAGATATCCAAAAGCGTTTGACTGAAGTTGTCATCAAGACATCTCTTACAGGATATCCTAAAGCGTTCGACTGACGATGCCTAAAAGACGTCACTAAGAAGTCCCGAAGACATCCTTTCGAGATGTCGGAAACCGTCCGACTGAGGAGGTTTTTAGGATGTCAAATGGGACGAGACCCCGGGACGAGTCGTCCTGTTGGAGACATCCCTGGGATGTCACCGTGCCATGTGGCATGTTTTGTCAGCGAAGAATGATCTCGGAAGCACCTCGTCCGGGACGACGTGCACCCAGCTGCGACAGCGAACGTCCTCAGACACTCCCTGCTTTTCTTATTTTGATTTTTATAAAGAAGGGTTCTCCAATGTCAAAACATTTTCATGAGACATGAAGTTTCTCGCCGAAAAAAAATGACGCTGCGATACGAATGCGGACGGAGCGTGCTCGAGCATATTGGATTTTAAATGTGAATGCTTGTGAAGTTGTGAAAGCATGGTATCCAGGACGAAGAATGTATCCTGACTGCATGTGATGTCGAGCATAGGCGCCGACTTCTAAAAATTATTGCCCCCCGCAAGTTCTTAATGACCCTGAAATAACATTGACGGAATTATTCCAGAATCCATTGGGGTAGCTCAGTATTATTATGGTAGCAGAGTGACGAGCGGGGGAGTTCTGGCCATGGCCCTTCCACCCCATACCCTAACGGGGTGACACAGGGATCTCCACCAGTTGGAGCTCTAAACAGAAAGGAAAATCGTGTTTTTCATTTCTTTCGTGAAGCAGCATTTTGTTCTAAATTTTCTACGTGCCATACTTTTGGTCATTCTTGGGAGGGCGTTGCACCCTCACTAATATAGTTGGGGGGCACGTGCCCCTTTGCCCCCCTGGGTTCGGCGCCTATGATGTCGAGGCCGTCGGTCTTTTCATCTCTCGTGTGTACACAGGGTGGCGCACGAAACGATGACACGTTTGTTTTTGGTATCGAAGATGGTAACCATCCTCATCCGTGGAGCGCACGAAACGCACATTCGAATCCAACTTCACCATCTTTGAGCTTTACCGTTTTGCTCGATGTCGAAAGAGCATCGTTTGAAAGTGAGAATGCCTCAAAGTTCCTCAAATGACACCCCCCAAAAGTGAAAATTTTCCCTGAAAGGTCTCATCGAGGAAAACAGTTTCTTTGCTGGTACATTTTTAATTGGATGTAGCGTTTAGCTGTCAGAGGGCGAGAACGTCCGTGTCGAAAACTTTTGAAATACAATGCTTCAGTCTCTATTTCAACAATTACTCGTACTGTACGATGGATTCGATACGATCTATGTAGTGAGGATTTATGAAAATCTCTATTTAGCGGCTGTCCAATTAAAATGTCAACAAAGAAATCTGTACTTCCCAAGAACTTGCAGAAAATATATACTTTGCTGAAGAATTATTGAGGTACACATTTCACATAAAAAGGCAGACGAATAGCTCTAAACCTGAGAAAGTTTATTGCATGAAAAAAAATTATGGACTGGATGCAGACAAAGTCTGAGTTAACCGGTGTGAAAGAAATTATATTTCAAATAATGTACCATATTTTGCACACACCCACACAAGCTTACACCGTATTTTTTTTTCAGCACAAAAAAAGTCCCAGAAAAATTCGAAAACTATACCTTAGAGTTCGAATTTCCCCCCAACTTTAGAAATTTGGAAGTGATAGTTACAATTTCCAACAGGTAAAATTTTTCTAGTTTTGGGGGAAAACCATCAACCTGATTCACGTGCAGATACTGTATGTGTGCATACATATAATTATTTATTTACTTTATGGTCGAGTGGTCTCGAGAGCTGTTCCCAGGGCCCTGCTCATGCCCAATGTTTGGTCCGTAGACTGATGTTAGAAGTGCATCGTCGACGGCGTTGATCGAAAATCCGAAATACCTGCCATTCAGCCTTTTTTCGCTTTCTAGTTGGGCAGAAGTAGAACGGCGACATCGCATGGAAACGAAGCTTCTAAACAACATTTCGCTGCCGTGCACGATACAATAGTCTACATCGCGGCACCGCGTGCTTCTTATTCAATCGTATTTCCATCTTTAACCGATCTTTATGCCTATGAAGATTTTTAGGCGAAAAATCACCTCCACGGGGGACAAGTTTTTAAATTTGCACTCAGCTCATGCGGGATCTTCCTCGGTCCGTTCCAGCACTCACCCGGATGAGGGATCACTCCCAACAACTCATTCGTGTTAACTCTTCTCTCTTAGAAGAACCTTGTTTCTTCGAGCAAATGCCAGATGGCAGGGCTGCAGCTCCATCATTTCAGGACCTTTTTTTTAACTTGTCGATATCTATGAAATGGCACCCATCAAGTCAGAATTCGCGATAGGCAATTTCTATCTTCCTTTGCAAAATAAAATTTTTCGCGAACATAAGGAAAATGGTACGTCGGAGCGAGTTCTGTCCCACGAAAATGATAAATCCTAGGATGCTGAGGAATCGGTGTGAAAATTGTTAGCATTCTGTTCCGTTCTTCAACGGTTTGGGTACTAGCGGCAGGACTTGCGTTTATGCGCAAATGTGCATCCTATACGCATAACATTCCGAAGGGACGCGATTTTCTAAATTTTTGATCTGAAAACCGGACAGAAAATGTCCGGTTTTCATAAACCCGTGCGCAACCTTATTAGTGGCAAGAAGGGGGAGGGGGGGGTCGGAGCGAAGTCTTTGCCGAGGAAGGTGCGCCACGTGTAAGTGATGAGCGCAGCGCAGATTGCATTGTGTTCACGTGCTCATGACGTATTTTCCGTTCGTTTCAATTAAGGCTTCAGGGCGGTCGGGGCCAACACTTTTCTCGTTCAGTTTCAAGCGGAAAATGTACGAGGTCAGTTTATTCGAGTCACACGTTGGCATGCGTTCAGGTGTTCCTGAACATTGGCCTAATGCCGCATAAAGAAAGGTATCAACAGCGTAGGTCTAAATTCTAAACGAAGGTGATGTCTTTGTTCCACTTAATGAGCACAGAGAAGGGAAAATTGACATAAGCCTTGACCTAGTCAAACGGTAGGAAAAGAGATGGACGTGAGCTATGATGAAAATAGGCAGCTTGTGAATCATGAATCACATTAAAAACTTTTTCCATTAAAAAAATGGAAAAAGAAGTGGGTCAACGTGTATCCCTGGCTTTCCTATAGAGATGGAAGAGCTTCCTGTGGTTTCTGCTCAAATGCAAATAAGAAAAACCCCTACTCGGCATCTAGCAGTTGTAATATGCAGAAGGTTTTTTGGAGAAGAAATTTGCGAATTTGAAGATGCCCTAGGGCTATTTGTCAAAGAGAAAATGTTCGAAGTAATCCTTAGGCTGCTGGATTGAATATCGTGCTGTTTGGTTATGTTAAATCAAAGAAAAAACATTAACTGCGGGACTTGAACTTTTTGTGCAACTTCGCAAGATTTCATCATGTTCCAATTGCAAAGGGACTCCAAATTTTCCAGAGGAACCCTTTCTTACCAGACCTGAGAGTCCTGGGGATCCTTAAGGTAAAAAAGTTAGCGCAATCCCTGAGTGGGCTCACAGACACAGACAGACAGTACGAAGTGCAATTTTATGTGGTAGTAAATGCTTTTTCCCCCTCATGTTTTACGTGTTGAACCTACGTTCGGTAAGCCCTCGACTTACCTCACTCCGATAATTAAAAAACGACGTGGTAGAGGACCCGAGACAGCCTTGAAAGCACGGACCAGAATCCAGCATAAAGAGAGGAACAACTTAATTAGGAAAAAGTGAGGCTATGAGGAACGTAAGGGTTGGAGAAAAGCAAAAAGAGCGATAAAATATTAAACTTTTGGAGTTGCGAGATTGGAGGTGGTGTTCACAAATGGTGTATTTTAGAAATTCAAACATTTCTCATGTTTCTACGTTAGGTTAGGCCATGAAGCTCGATCGCATCGACCGGAAGGATTAAGTTCGAGATGGAGTGAGAATGAGAGTAAGAGTGAGAGTGAAAGTGAAAGTGAGAGCGAGATTGGAAATGCTATTCAGTTGGTTGTCGATGATTGAGGCGAATGTAACAAAGGTGTTCGCAGGTTCTGACCAGGAAAGTTTGCTCGCAAATTGAGTGCCACAAAGGTCACTGGTAATGAGATATTACTTTTGAAGAATCACAATACAAATTTTCCTGATTTGAAATTTCCGATTGGAAACAGAAAAGAAAGGAAGAGGCGAAGGAAGTATGCGGTTCAATTGAGCGGTTGGGATTCCTACTGGAAAAAGCCACGGTAAGAAATTCCAATAGGGTTAAGTTGCCGATGTCTAGATGAAATATTTTTTCACGTATAAAAAAGATGCCATCAAGTCACAATTGAGCAGATATGAAGGATTTACAAACTAAAAATGAAAAAAAACAGCGCAGAGAATAGAGCAAATTTTAAAATAAAGTTGAAAGATTAGCAAAATTGATGTATTTCAAATAAAAATTTTCTGCCTGTCCGGTTAGGCAAAGTAACGTGGAAATTATAAATGGAACAATGAATAAGAGAAAAACCAATTGCTACTTTCCGAAAATAATTCGCGATCCTGTTAGCAATGAAGCTATTGTCAATCAATGAAATCTTTAAACACAATGAATACTTTGAATTTAAAAAAATCTAGATAGTATAATACTGAACGCACAAAGTAGATGCATTTCGTGGACGAGCATGAAATGAGGTCTACTTTTTTTTGCTTCAGTAACAGAACAGGAAATACCTTGCCCGTCAATTCAGGTGGTTTTATTTTATATTTTCTCGTTTAAAAGTAACTTGCATTTTTTTTGCGAAATAAATGACAGGCAATTAAGTTCAACTTATAACCGTGCAAACTCGTTAACTCGAACCTTTAGTGACCTTTTCGAGTTATTTGAATTTCGACTCATTATCTCTACTGTAAAAAAAAGTTAAGGGATATATCCAGAGGGCGATTTTCCCCTCCCAAGAATCCGATTTCAAGGAGCGACGACCTTCTCATTATAATTGGCTTTTATTAATCTCAAGGGAAACATCGATACTCCATATGTAAAATTCATTTATCATAACGCCCTTCATCCGGTGCTCTTTTGAATATTCGGTTTCCTCTTGAGTGGGCTCACTACAACACCAATGGCGTAAAAGAAACTATATAACTGGTATGGCACGAAGTGAGAGCAATAGATAGACAGGGAGAGTGCTAGAGGCTGCTCCTTTTTTTGTAGCTCAAGCTTTTCTGTTTTAATTGCCAGGTTTAATCAAGAGTGTCTGTGAGGGAGGAGGAAGAAACAGAAAAAATAAAAAAATAAACAAAAGGACTTTCTCCCGAACGGGGTTTCTTGTCTCTCACTCTATTTAAAAAATCCATTAGTCCCACAAGAATAAAATGTTCACACCCCGAACGGAAGTAAAAACGTGGTTCGAGATATCCGAAAATTCCAAATAAGCGAATTCGAGTTAAACGGAATATTTAACATGATGTCCTACGGGATTCCGGCGGGACTAAGCATTGAACTTCAAAATTTGAGCGGAATTTCGAATTAACAGGATCCAAGTTAACGAATTTTCACTGTATTTATAATTCCACAGATTTATAGATTAAGAACATTTCTTCTGTTTTGACACATTTTAATAAGAGGTAACAACAGAATTCTTCGAATACAGCCGAAAACACAAAGTACCCATTTCAATCGACGCACAGTGTAGTTGCTGAGTTGTGGAAGCTGGATCCTAAGGCATTTATACCAGCCAATATTCATCTTAAATTGTGCAAAGATGCTAGAAAGATGATAGCACCATGTGTTACCTTTCGCATTTTGTTTTAGTCAGTGCTGCTATGGAAGTTTCCAAAGAGAAAGTTCGCATCGATTTATGAAGGTGGTGATTCAACAGATCTATCTAACTATCGGCCCTCATCTATACTGTCTGTTTTTAGCAAGCAGAAATTCTTTCAAAAATGAATGCTAAACTTACTCATATTTATATATATAAAATTACTTTTCCCCAAAAAGTATGGCTTCTTATAGGGTAAAAGTACAGGGTGTCCAATAAGTCACTTGGGGAGTTGATATTAATGTAATTTGGGAGTAACGTAACATATTTTGAGTCTGTAAAATGTATCATAATCTGCTATCTAGTAAGTTTTGCCGACAACAATTTTTGCTTCTTAGATAAGTTCTATGTAGATATTAAAAATGCTGACGTCAGAACAACGAGTCGACATAGGTCTGTGAATTGGAATCTGCAACACGAACCAGACATGTATGCACCCTGGTGAGACCGTTAGTGAAAACACAATCCATGACTTTCTCAAAAGTTCCGTGAAACTGGCAGTTCCGTGATTGGAAAAGTAGCTGACGTCCGCTTCTTATCATGGACACTGTCGGCTTCGCGGAACTTTTTGAGATTGTCACGGGTTGTGTTTCCACTAATGGTCTCACCAGGGTGCACTCGCTGGAATTTGCGTTGCAGATTCAAGCTTGCCCATCCGCAGAACCATGTGGACTTGTTCGCACGTCAGCATTTTTTATTTTTATCTGGAACTTATCTGCGAAACAAAAATCGTTGTCAGTAAAACATAGATATAGCAGATTAACATACATTTTACAGACCCAAAATATATTATGTCATTCCCAAATTACATGATTAAATCCCTAAGTGACTTACGGGACAACCTGTACAAATACTCGACTGAAATCTGTTGTCAACCAAATTCACAGTGAATTAGACGAGTATAGTACAATATTGGCATTGGGATTTTATTCGATCTGAAAGCCTTTGCACTAGTATCATAGAAAACTATTTGAGATATTGCATATCAATCGTTTTAAACGACTCTGTTTACAGTGGAGTTCTTATTTATCTCAGCAATAGACAGCAATGATTGATTGGGAAACATGTAATGGTACCTTCGCTTAAAAATACGGTGTACCTAAGGGACCAGTGCTGGGCCCTCTACTTTTTTTATACGCATAAATGATATAAGCAATGCTGAATGACGGGAAAATCAAATTATATGCTGAAGACAACACTATTCTTTTTTTGTCAAAACGCTTGCCGATGGAGATGATGAACGAGTCACTAGGAACGTGATGGGCGTCGGAGCGAACTCCCCTAGTTCCTTTCCTTCTCAATCGCCGCTGACCACTGCCCCTGTGCCTGTGGGAAGTTATCATGCGAGACATGCGGACTTCGGGAGGTCTCTTTTTCTCTCTCTTAGTGCATGGATTCCCTTCACCTTCGCCCCACGTCTCTCCGTATCTCGGAATCGCCACCAGCAACTTACACAATTTTCCAAAGAAGAAGCCAGAGATCCGCACTTGTCATTTTATTCTCCGATGAAATGCAATGCGGGGATAGATGAGGCAAAAAGGAAAAAAATCACAAAATGATCTCCGGGGCTGCATGAAGCGGGAGACCGGATCGAGGACGACTGAAGAAATGAATCTCATCTCTTCATAACCAAACATCCATCATCCCGTTAGTATCACATTGACAATATCATGTCAAATACTCCTTCCTTTTTAGTGGACTCCTCTGTACAGTATGAGGGAGGAGCAACAAAAAAAAATCACCTATGGTAGAACGTTGAGAATTCCTGGGAGTACAGAGTAGAGTACAACAATTGATTTGACAGACGGAACAGAAACACCCAGACAAGGCATTCAACCACGACCATGCAATGTAAGAAGAAGCGAGATAGAAAAATAGATGCAAAAAGGAGGCAGGTAGGTCCTTCTTACCCCCCAAAATCCCTTAGAGAGTCGAAGAAATGACCAAAGGGTCCCTGCAATGGAGAAAGGAAGACTTTCCTTCTCCCTCTCTCTCCCTCAGAGATCGATCTTTTAAAAAAATGAGACAGAGACAGGCGGAGAGAGAGGTGAGTGGATGGGTGGTGAAAGACAACGGCCATCATGAAGTAAAACAAAGTCAAAGCCAGGTGTTACTAGAATGCCCTTTAGGTCAAATTGGAGCTTCGATGGAAGATGTGCAGTCTTTCTCTTCCTTTTGCTCTTCGACTTCCTTCCTCTCCTCCGTCTTTTTCCGCTTTGGCCTGAAGAAGCCGGGTTTGACCTCCGGATCCTCGTGGATGAGGGAATCCAGGTCACTGGATGCGATGGGAAAGTCCTGCAAGGATGCGAGGCTGAGACGCGACCGGGAGGGGCAAGCCACATCCGGTTGAAGGAGTTCCACAGGGACGCTACTCTCACGGCGGTAGGGTTCCCTGTTCATGGGAGTATTATCGTAACGTATCACTGTCTTCTTTTTCTTCTTCCTCTTCTTCTCCTCTGGTCTCCCCTCCCTCGTCCTCGCCTTCGTTGCCGTCGTCATCGTCTTCGTCGGCGTTGTGATCGTCTTCTCCTCCTCCTTCTTGGGCTCCTCGATGTCGATGGCGATGTGATCTGGGGCCACCTCGCTTACGCTCCGTTTCATCCGGCTCGTGGAGGGCAACTGAGTCCGAGTTCTAGGATGGCTACGGTGCCCATGAGGATGACGACGATAGTGAGCATGCTGACTATGAGGATGGACGTGGAGACGATGGCCACGAGAGGCGGATGAGGCTTGGGGAGGATGAGAGTGCTTCTTCGTCCCAGTCTTGGTGGGGCTTAGGCTCCCCGTCCCAGTCTTGGTGGGGCTTAGGCTCCCCGTCCCAGTCTTGGTGGGACTCAGGCTCCTCGACCGGATTCGAGTCTTCTCTTTCTCCTCCTTGTTTCCCACTTCTTTCTCCTTTCCCTTCCCTTTATCCCCCTTCCCTTCTCGCCGTTCTCCTTCATCCATCTTCTTTCCTTTCTCTTCCTTCTTCTCCTCCTCCTCTTTCTCTTTCTCTTCCTCCACCTTATCCCTGATCTTTTCCTTTTCCTCCTTCTCCTCCTTTTCCTCTTCCTTTTCTTTCCCCCTTTCCCCAGCTTTCTCTTTCACCTTTTCTTCCCCTTTCCTCCTGGTCCCTTTCGTCTTCCGGCCATGTCTCTCCTTTTTAAGCTGCAAGGAAAGAGAGAGAGCCTAGAGAGAGAGATAGAGGGAGACGGTGGGAGCCTCCGCGAAATACAGGAGCAGAACTGACCCTGAGCTTGACCTGGAGAACGGCAGCAGCACCAGGAGTGGTGGCTGGTGACGTCTTCTTCTTCTTCTTCCGATCTCGGACCTTCTTGCCGAGAGGGATGCGGTGCCGGACGACGGGTGCATGGACGGTGTGCCTTCCCGTTCCCAGGACCACAACCTCGGGTGGCACTCCACTTCCATTCCCCGTCCCCCTGTGATGGTGATACACGGTCAGCTTCTTCAGCGTCACCAACGGCGTCTTCCCGAACACTTTCACGATCCCTCCCTGAAATTCCAATCGTCTCATGCGATCATCCCGCACGACACAAACGAGAAGGAAGAAAATCGGAAAGGGAACTGACGAGGATGCTGGCGAATCCGAGGACGATGAAAAGGACGCCGTACCAGTGAGTCTGTACCCATTTCCTCAACGTCGCGATGCTCTCCTCCGACAGGATCAGCTTCCTCAACGTCGCCAGCGGACCCGACGGATCCACCTGATAATGATAGGGACCGTATCCATTGAATAATGTGGAAAGAGTACATATATTTACATTTATATAACTGAAATACCTCGCGACACTTCTGGAAGACGTCGCAGTATCCACTGTAGTCATCGCAGGGTGTGCCGGCTTTGGCGTACATGTCTGGCACGTCGTATGGAGGAACGTTCCAGTCGAAAGATGACCTATTGGCAAGAAGAAAGGGAAAAACCACACTTCATATACTCGGCGAGTAAATGCCAAGCAGTCTGATCATACTAATTGTCTAGAAAAACAATGGTTGAACGATTGAATATATATTCGCGATGTTTCAACCATCGTTCCTGGGCACCCAAAATCAGCATCTAAAGTAACGGTATGAATTCCCCTCCCTCTTATTTAAAATAAAAAATTGTAAAAAAATTAGAATTCGACGAATGGAATGCGGAAGTAATCGTGAGGAGAGAGAAGCTAAGCATTTCGACGTCCCCATTGGATTTCTCCTGTTTTGTCTCACAGGTACAGTCGCACAAATAGAGAAGCGTGAGTGAGAAAAGAAGTGGCAAATATCGCCGTTCAGCAGTGATACTGTCAGTACCAGTGGCGTAGCGAGAGGGGGAGTTTCAGCCCCTCCAGTTTGGTTCAATCCCCCCCCCCCAAAGGAGAAGTAAGGGAAATTCTAGCCCCTCCCTCCGTTCCCCTTAGCCCCCACCCATATTGGCGAAATCCTCGCTACGCTGGGCTACGCTACTAGTGATTATACAGAAAATATATCCAAGTGGCAGGTACAACTCTGAAAATATACTTAAGGATATTAATGAAGATGTGTTGCCAGGAGGAAAATGGACACGAACCAGTGAGGGATGCAACCCTCACCGCTTCGTGCTCTCGTCGTAGCTGTCATGTTGACAATGACCTTCCATGCTAAGCCGCCTGCTTCACGTATTAATTGCCCTTCACAACCGACTGTTACGCCCCCCCCCCCCACTTTACGCAAATACTTAACGTTTCTAATTCCCTTCGGCGGGGGGGGGGGGGGGGGCTTGGTGGGGCCCGGGGCAACACCCCCCCCCCCCCCCCCTTTACGCAAATACTTAACGTTTCTAATTCCCTCCGGCGGGGGGGGGGGGGGGCTTGGTGGGGCCCGGGGCAACAGCCCCCCTTAATCCGGCCCTGCATTCACAGGATTATAATCGAAATTAGTTTTTGTAGTGGAATACGACACTGTCTTCGAGTTCCGTTCCATATTCTTTGCGAGTACGCAGTCATATTGTTTGCCCGCTGTCTACTTTCCCACCATCGGCTCGCAGAAAGCGGCTGACGTATGATGAACGAGGCCTTGCATTCAGGAAGGCGGAGGCGAAGGACGAAGTGAGCGGAGCCTGCGAGTGAGAGGAGATAGCAATGGAGCATGCGCAGGCAGGAGTGGAGTTCAAGAGGAAGAGAATGGGGACACGGAGTGCATTCATGTACGGTCCGGAGATTCCCACTCTCTCGGAGTAGGCTCGTTGGTCTAGGGGTATGATTCTCGCTTCGGGTGCGAGAGGTCCCGGGTTCAAATCCCGGACGAGCCCTTTTTATTTTTCATTTTTTGCCATCCTCTTCTCTTCGTCCATCCTTCCTTTACACCATATAAAAGGATGATATGCATGCCTACACTTGGCCTTATACAAAATCCTCATGGATAGAGTCACAGTCCTCCTTTTTTCACCCGTTTCGCTTGAATCTGCGTGCCATACCTTCATCGCCTGCCTGCATGTGGTCGATATTTATATATCGACCACAGCAAGCAAAATGAACTCGCCCTGGACAGGCAGAGGAGCAAGCTTTCGAGGTATTTCTACATGCAGAGATAAATCGTGAATGCTTATTAATGGCTACCGTAATCTCTCAGATCCTAACGTCTCTCAAGGTACATCCTGAATGGATGTAAAAGGAGTCGCTCACCTTGCAGGTTTCTTGAGATTTCATCTAAAGGAGGGGGATTTCATCTTGAGATTTCAATTAATATGTGAATTGGGCAACGCCCAATTAAAATCTACCCTATCCTTTACCAAGGCTCCACCTAAAGTAGTCAGATCTCAAATCGGGCGAAGGCCCTGGCAAGTGCCTCAGAAGGAATAAAATCGACCTGTATGGGAACATCGACACTTGCTTAACTTAGCTTAATAGGCAAAATAATAGATATGGTGAATTTCGAGTCGCCAATGCCCCTCGATCTTAAAATTCATTTCCTCGAGAAGCGAAGCATCCATAGTATTCCTACAATTTTTTAAATGACCACATACCTGTGACTTATGCAAGGGGGGCAAAGAGGAATGTACAGGGAGCCCCCATGTAAACCTACGAGAACCTTCGCTCCCCCACGAATCGGTCTTTTGGGATGAGCGAACACGCGCCCGCCATTGTCACCAGGAAGTTTTTGTCGTGGGTATCCTTCCCTACCCCCACCTCACTACTCAGTTACAACACACTGAGCACCCCTTCCAAAAAACCCTGCGTACGCCAATGATACTTTTTTTTTTGCTCACAATTCACAATGAACTCTGAAAGACTTCTGGCCGTCAGAGGCGCGAATAGTGGTTATACTGAGCACGTTTGCATTTCGGAACAGGATATGGAAACTTAGTTTTGCATAATAATTAAATTAACCCTATTGTACTGGTACAATAGTGTACCATATCCCTCTCTCCTACACTGTTCATGAGGGTCACTGGTACACATAGGTACCAACTTATTCCTCACTGCTAACACGCTGTAAGTCACAGTAAGCGAGTATAGGACATCTAGGAGCGATTCGAGCAACTTATCACATAATAACAGCTTACAACCTTTTATTTTCTAGCGGAATTGCGGCAGAGTTTTACTCTATTAACACTTTGAGCCCTGGCAATTTGTGTGCGCTATGGGCGTAGGGGAGTAATATGACGGCTGCAGGATTCAAAGTATTAATGGTAATTATAAAAAAACTGTTTTATCTTTACATCTTGCCGTTTTACATGCCGATGAAGGTAAATAAAAATGTATGGTAAGTAAATATATAATTCATTACATGTTTCGTTCCCGTTTTGACTGAGTATTGAGCAAAATGATAGATAAGGAACAGGACCAGGTGACTGCTTAACTCGCCTAGAGACAATCCGCCGACTACAACTCGCCGAATGTTCAATTCATCGAATGATGATTTGCTGACTCATAACTCACCGATAGCTCAACTCTAATGCTTAACTCCCCGAATCCCATACTGCCGACTCGAACTTTCCAAATATTCAACTCACCGACTTTATTAAAGATTCTAAGCGATTTTCGGTGGGTACCAGGGTGCCGAATTTCCTTAGTACTTGAGAAGCATTGCACATAATTATGACTTTTGATGCATTTGTGAAGGACCATGGAAAAAAAAATTTTACACCAAAAATTGAATGATTTATGTAGTACTTCTTGTCGCCTCATCCTCTATCACAAATACATCAATAAATGATCGGTCATAATTATATGAAACTCTTGTCGTGTATTGGGAAATTCGGCACCAGTGTAGCAAGCGAAAATCTGTTTGAATCTTTCGAAGTCGACGAATTTGGGAAGTTCATGTTGGCTGGATGGAATTCGGGGAATTGTGCATTCGACTTGAACAATTGGTGAATTGGGAGTCAGCGAAATGAATTCGGCGAGTCGTCACTCGGCGAGATGATAGAGAGGACAGGAGCTTGCTGCAGGGAAGGACGAAGTAGGGCTCGTTCCGTCTACCGCGGATTCCTCTAAGCAATCCCGTTTCAAATACGAGTACTCCACGGTATCTCTATTTTATTGCCTCACTCACTTTCGACTTTCACTCTCTCTCCGTGCTCTCAATGTTATCTATGTATGGTAGAAGGAAAGAGTGGAGTGGCTCGTTGGTCTAGGGGTATGATTCTCGCTTAGGGTGCGAGAGGTCCCGGGTTCAATTCCCGGACGAGCCCTGCGAAATATTTTTCTTTTCTTTCTCCCCTCCCGAGCTAGACATGAGTTTCCGGCACCGAGATTGTAGACTTACAAGCAAGGTTGATCGTGTCCAGGGAGTTTGCAGCAGAGTTCGCAGGCCTTGGTTGGAGGATCCAGAGGACCTCGCTTGCACTGACAAGATTCCAAACCATAAGCCAGACATATGCTCCCCGTACATTCCTGTCGGAAAAAAAGACCGTTTACCTTCCCTTCAGACATGCGAGACACGCCAAGATGAAAAGGAACTGACCCCTTTGAAACAGACGAATTCCTCGTTGCAAATGGTCTTGTTTGGTTTGTTGACGGAAGGAGGACAAGTGGGACGAAAGCCGTCGCAGTAGGCAGGGTCCCGACAGCCGTTGTCATCCCGACACGCATCCCGCAGCTTCAGTTGACAATCGTGGGTGCAACAGGGACCTTGGCTGGGACTACAAACTCGGAAGGGTCTTAGCGTGCACGGTCTTTCGTTTGGATCCCCGGAGCCGGAGCCAGCGGTCCGCATGGGAAAACAACACTCTTCCTGGCAGTCCTCTTCCCATCCGCAGTCGCATTCCTCCCCTTCTTCCACCACTCCGTTCCCACACACGGATGCCGTCGGCTCTGTCAGTGTTAGAGTCATCCCCATGAATCAAGCAATCCATTCTAGTGAGGCGAGAATCGGATAGGATCGTACCGGTAAAGCATCCCTTGGGACCTCGGGCCTTGGCTGTGAGGACCCCATTGATGGCTTTCAGGCTGCACGGGGAGAACTGATGATTGTTTTTCTTATCCCCTGACGTCGCACGGGCAAACATGATGTAATTCCCGTCATCTCCACCTGGCGTGCATACTCGGTCCAGCTCCG